ATTATTATTATTATTATTATTATTATTATTATTATTATTATTATTATGTATACAGTGCTCTGCCTCATTATAGAGGGTTGTGAGCCACCATGTGGTTGTTGGGAATTGAACTCAGGGCCTCTGGAAGAGCAGCCAGTGCTCTTAACCTCTGAGCCATCCCTTCAGCACCCCATTTATCTTTCATGTCATTGTTTTTCTACCTACTGTGTGGGGTTCTCTTACAAGAGCATTGATAAGAGGTTTATTAACCGCAGCATGGGTAACTAAAATGGTGACAACCCCACTGAAGAAAATGATATTTCTTTCCTCCAGCAACTACTGCCAACAGGTCCTCAGCCTCCCAAGTCCCTCCAAACAAGACTGAATGCTAAAGGAAGGGTTCTATCTTGGGCAATAACCACACCTGCTATGACAATGGCCATGTCATGTCAAAGAGACACCAGTTTTCTTTAAATGGACCTAAGCAGAAAGAAGAAAATTCTTCTGGCACGGTATGTGTGTGATCGAATACAGGCTTTGAGCACGCCATGGCCTGTGTGTGGAAGTTAATTTTCTCTTTCCACCAGGTAGATTCCAGAAATCAAATTTAAGTTATTTCTTAAGCTTGGCAGCAAGCACCTTTACCCACTGAACCAGAGCCAGCCCTGTGTGCAGAATTCTTGACAGCCTAACATCAAACTAAAATTCTCCACGCAATTCAAAGCATTTGCATTAGAAGAGCTGTACAACAGAAATCCCCTTCCCACCCTTTTCCTCATCCTCTTTCCCTCCTTCCCTCCCTCCCTTCTCTCTCTCTCCTTGATGGCACCTCCTGGGATACCATTACACCATCTCCAGCAGCCCTATATCCCAAGCTAGGTAGGCCAGGAGAGCAAAGGTGTTTGTGTATAATTATTTGTTCCTATGGATATCAGTTTACCTGTCACCTAATGCTGATCATTTCAGCCCTTCTCCTCAATCATACTGTTCCAGCCATGAAGCCTCCCAGCCTGCTGTTCCTACAGGCCAAAGTCTTTGCCTTCTGCAAAACTGGCTTCCCCTTGCACTGCCAGTCACAGCAGCAAGATACTGTTTTTATGTTTTGTCATACCCTCACCCCAGCCTATTGACACTATTTCAGGGCCAACTAAACCAAGAACAGAGGATAAGGAGCAACAGAAGCTGTTACTGCCGCAGCCACATTCTGCATCTTTCCTGACTCTGCCAGCCGGTAGGGCACAAAGCTTAACTGGGCATCTTCAGCTCCTATAGCTGTAGAACTTCAAATAAAGGTATTCACATACTGGGTCTTTCTCTTCCCACCTTTAAAAATTGAGGCAATAACTGTTCCTTCCCCAGAGAAGAAGGGAGGTATGAAACAGGCTCAGAATGGGGGGCTCATTCATGGTGATCCAGATAAGAATGTTATTAGTAAGTACAAAGAGCATCAATATATGGGCTCTGGACCACTGGAAATACAAAATAAGTGAAAATTGTTCTTACCTTTTTCCTTTTGGTATGGAACCAGCATCTCCTACATGTTAAGCATGTTTTATACCATTGAGCTACATACTTGTATACTCTCAAGTTTTGTTTTAATTTTTTGTTTTGTTTTGTGGTTTGAGGAGGTTTTTTGTTTTGTTCTGTTGTTGCTGTTGCCTTTATCTTCATCGTCATTGTTTGAGATAGAACCTCCATTTAGGCTGTTCTGGAACTCCCCATGTAAATCAAGCTAGCCTTGAACGCAAAGAGATCCTACTGCTTCTGCCTCCTGAGTGCTCGGACTAAAGGCATCTGCCACCCCACCTGGCTTATTTTATTTTCTTTGATACATGGCTCATTATGCAGCCCTGGGTAGTCTGGAACTCACTATGTATTTCAGGCTGCCCTTGTTAGACATGTGTACCCCACAAAAGGCCCTTTGTGATTTATTTTATGTGTATGGGTGTTTTGCCTGTGTGTCTGCGCACCATGTGGATACTTGGTGTCAGTAGAGGCCAGGACAGCATGTTGAATCCCCTGAAACTGGAGATATGGATGGTTGAGAAGGGCATCCAGTGCTCTTAACCAGAGCCATTTCTCCAGCACACACTCCTTACCACTTGGTTTACTCTTACGGTCACTTGTGGCTGAGTATATCACCCCATGGTAGATCATGGGCCTAGAATATATGAAGCTCAAATTCAATTCCCAGTAGCATTTATATATATATGTATATATATATATATATATGTATGTATACACATGTATATATATGTATGTATACACATGTATACATAGTATATATATTTCTATATTTCCAGAAATGCTGTTGCATGCCTTTAGTAATTCCAGTACTCAGAAGGTAGAAGCAAGAGATCTTTTAGCTCCAGGCCCATCAGAGCTACGGAGACCCTATCTTAAAATCTGTGTGTGGGTATACTAAAATTATATTAAAAACTTTATTTATGCTGGGCGTGGTGGTGCATGCCTGTAATCCCAGCACCCTGGTAGGCAGAGGCAGGCAGATCGCTGTGAGTTCAAGGCCAGCCTGGTCTACAAAGCAAGTCCAGAATAGCCAAGGCTACACAGAGAAACCCTGTCTTAAAAACAACAACCACACACACACAAAAAAACTTTATTTAATGATCCTAGGAATCAAATACAGTACTTGTTATTCAAGTCCTCAATCACTGAACTATGTCATCAGCTTAAAAAAACTTTAAAAAAAATCATTTATTGCGGCCAGAGAGATGGCTCAGTGGTTAAGAGCACTTATTGCTCTTATAGAAGTTTTGTTTCTAGCACCCACATGACAGTTCACAGCCATCTGTAACTCCATCAAGTTACAAGCCCTCTTCTGGCTTCCTTGAGCACTGCATGCACATGGTACACTCACATATATGCAGGGAAAACAAAACACTCATACACTCTTTAAAATAATATTTTTAAAGATCATTCATCACAAACCTTGCCCAGGCCAATGAGATGGCTCAATGGGTAAGAGCACGTGTGCAAATCTGAAAACCTGAGTTTGATCCTTGGAGCCCATATAAAGGGGGAAGAAGAGACCCTGCTCTCCTAACGAAGTTTCTTCTGACCTCTCCCAGCAATACTAATAATTAAAGATAATAATAATAAACATAAACTAACTCCATTTCCTGTTCTTTTGTTTTTTCCCTCACGAATGTGTATGTGCATGCATGTTTGCACCTGTGCATGTACATGCAAAGGCCAGAGGTTAATGTTGGTGTCTTCACTCATCTTCTCCACCTTATACACTGAGGCAAGGTCCATCAGTTGAATACAGAGCTTTGCACATATGGTTAGTTTAGCTAGCAAGCTTGCTTCCAGGTTCTCCTGAGTGGGAGCATCACTGGGATGGACACACACACACACCAAATCCACACAGATTACAGAGAGCATGTTAACCACAGAGACAACTCCAAAGGCACTGCATCCTGTTCTTTATTCAGCACTCTGACTTTCCTTCTTCCTTAGGCTTCCATTAAGATTAGCTTTAACTGTCAACTTGACACAATCTAGGGTCCTCCAAGAGATAAGTCTCTCTGGGTGTGGCTGTGGGAGATCACCTTGATTGCACTGATTGATGTAGAAATACTCATCTCAATTGTGCCTTGATTTCCCCACCATGACGGACTGTGCCTGGAGCTGTAAGCTAAAAAAAGCTTTCTCCTTTACGTTACCTTTTTAAAAAATTATTTTATGTGTAATGGGCATTTTGCCTGTATGTAGGTATATATTGCACCACATGTGAGCAGTGTCCACGGGAGCCAAAAGAAGGCACTGGATCCCCTGGAACTGGAGTTAGGTACAGTCATTAGCTGCAATATGAGTACTGGGAATCAAAACCCCAGTCCTTTTCAAGAGTGGCCAGTGTTCTTAACCACTGAGCCATCTCTTCACTGCTACTTAAGTTGCTTTTTTCTAAGTATCACAGGAGAAAAGAAACTAAGCTTCAAACAGATCGCTCAAAACCAAGCATTTTATACTTTTTGCCCCCATAGAATCACTCCCTTGCAGCAGTTTAGAAATGTAACTGACAAGTCCATGTTAGCCAGCAAAGGCTCCTTTTATTCATCCAGGGGTGGGTTTTTGAAATGCAGTGCAACTTTATAATGTCAAGAGTGCCAGTAAAGCAAGCTGGCTAGGTGCAGAGTAACACAAGAAGCTTGCTGGAACCTTCTAGTCCAACGGGTACCCTTGACACAAGCAGCCAAAGCTGCTGGCCAAGAGGAGTCAAACAGATCTCAGGATGAAATAGGGGTGCCTGCTCCATCCAAAGCTCCAGTCTGTCCATTTTTTCTTGTCAAAGAAAACAATGTGCAAAACAGAACCCTTGAAAGTGTGTTCACAGAGGTCACAGAGCAGGCTCTGCTTGTTGTGGCTCTTGACCAGAGAAGTATCGTGGCTGTGCATGAAAAGTCAGGCAGCTTCCACCCTTCCAAATGCCAGGGCATTGCCATCTGACTCTGGTCTCTCCACTACCTCAGGGCCCAGCCATCCAGGCCTTCACACAGGAGTTTCCTCTGCCACCTTTTTTAAGAGTCCAGCAGCCAGAAAGGAATGGTGAGGGTCCTCTGGGCCATCTGCTTCCCGAATCTTCAGGCGGACTTTCTGATTGGTCTTCCTCCATTCTGAGTACAGCTGGCAATGGTATCGGAAAGAGACCTGCAGAGGCAGGCCTGCAGTGGGTGGGAAGGTAGAGACAGGCCTCTACCCTGGGGAGGAAAGGGGCTCTGGCATTTGCCAAAGGCCAAACCTAGAAGCAGTGCCACCTCTGGGCATTTCTTGAAGACTGTACAGACACTCACCCATTTGGTCCTTTGGAGATGCTCTGATAAGCTTTGAGTCCTGTAAAAGTGGGGGGATCCACCACCTTGACCCCAGCAGGGAGCAAGGCTCTCCTTCTAACAGTTGATTAGAATGGAGTCCTCCCAGCCTCTTGGGATTATTTAACCCCAAGCAGTCACACAAATGCCCAACCTGGAAGCAACCAAGGTGTCCCTTCATAGGTAAGAGGATAAAAATGGTGGTGCATTTATGGGACTGGTGGACAAGAACACTTGCTGTGCAAGCTTGAAGACCTGAGTTAAAATCCCCAGCATTCATGTAAAAAGCTGAGCAAACCTCTGTGCTATACCTTTAACCTCAAAACTGGGGAGGGACAGGAGTTAGAGACTAGGACTCGTTTGATGGTGTGTGTCCACACACAGAGACAAACACACACACACATACACTAATAGAAGTGAGAGCTGGAGCTGCAACTCAGTGGTAAAGTGCTTGTCCAGCCCTGGATTCCAGTCCCAGCACTATAAAAAAGAATCCAGCTGTAGGGCTAGAGAAAAGGCTCAGTGGTTAAGAGCACTGGCTGCTCTTCCAGAGGACGGGGGTTCAATCCCCAGTATCCACAAGAGAACTCACAACTGTCTGAAACTCCAGTTCTAGGGGATAGGACACCCTCACTCCAATGCACATGAAATAAAATAAATTGGAAAAAAAAAAAAAGAGAGTGTTGCAAGATATTTGATTCCACTGTGAACCCCAAAATTGTAAACCCATGTTTATTGTTTGGTTTGGTTGAGAGCTAATACTCACCTTTAATCCAAGAACTTTGTTTATTGTAAGTAGGTGATTATGGTGTAGTTCACCCAGCCCTAGCATACGCCTTTAATCCAAGAGCTCCCTGTATATGGGATCTAATAAAATTAACCCTAGGTCAAGAGGCAGATCAAGAAAACAACTGATTAAAGAATAGGAGGGACTTTGAGGTGAGGGGTATTTAAGAAGCATGGAGAAGAAGAAAGGGCTCAAGCTCTGGCTGTAGCTTAGGCTTCAGCTCCTCAGCTCCCTGGCTTTTGGGCTTTGAACTAGCAAGCCTTTGGCCTTGAGTTTTTTGGCCTTTTCCTCCTGGGCTGTCAGTTGTACTGTTGAGCCTGCCAGGTTTTTTCCATCCAGACCTGAGCTGAGAAAGAAGGTCAGCTGAGTGCTTTCTCTGCCTCTCTGAGCTAGCAAGTTTTTACCCCAGCATCTGGTTCCTGAGTCCTCATCGGTAAAATAGAATGGTTGGGATTTTCATCATTGTTTATGACAACAAAAGAGCCCAGCTGGGGTCCTGGAGAAATAGCTCAGGGGTTAAGAGCACCGACTGTTCTTCCAAAGGTCCTGAGTTCAATTCCCAGCAACCATGGTGGCTCACAACCATCTATAATGAGATCTTGTGCCCTCTTGTGGCATAAAGGTGTACATGCAAGCAGAACAATGTATACATAATAAATAAATCTTAAAAAAAAAAGAAAAAAGTCCTACTGGTAGTGCAGGAATATAACCTAAGTAACTGAGTAAACCCATTTACTCACAAGACTAAGACAAGACAATCATAATCTAAGGTGTGCCAGGACCACAAAGTGAGTTCAGGCCTATCTGAGCAACTTAGTGAGACTGTCTCAAAATGACAACATAAAAAAACAGGGCTGGGAATGTAGCAGTGGCATGCTTGCTTAGTACAAGAGAGCTGTGGGTTCAATACTCAATATGGAAAAAGGACAACAACAATAAAAAGCCACGATAAGGGCATAGAGATAACAAATTCAAACAACCAAGCAAAAGAGGCCAATTTGAAGAGGCTACATGCTATTGTACTATTTGACTCCCAAGTACATGACATTCCAGAAGAGGAAAAACTGTGGAGACAGTAAAAGATGGGTGCTTACCACGGGTATTGGAGGAGAAAGGGACAAACAGGTGGAGAACAAAGGAGCAATTTTTTAAAATGTATACTATTTGGAGCTATGGCATAGTTGGAAAAGTACTTTACTTTGGAGTTAGTCCCTATATTAGTTACACCCAATATTGGCCTCCACTTATATGTGCATATGTGCACATCCGCACCCACATGCTTATAGTAACACACTTGCTTTTCTCATAAACCCCTAGTTCCATCCTAGCACCACATAAACTGATGTCCTGGCACATGAGGACATCTCAGCAGTTAGGAAGTAGAGATATGAGGATCAGGAATTCAAGGTCATCTAGGCCACATAGAAGCAAGTTTGAGGGGCTATGTGAGACCCTGTCCCAAAAAAGAGGGATTAACAAGGGGACTAGGGAAATGGCTCAGTTGATAAGGTGTGAGTACCTGATTTCAACCCCCTCCCACCCAAGCCCCATCAGCTGCACGAAAGCTGGGCATTGTGGAATTTACAGATCCCTGGCCAGCCATTCTAGCCAAACCAATGAGCTCCAGGTACAGTGAGAGCACCTGTCTCAAATAAAAGGTAGAGTGTTGGCCAAATGGTTTAGTAGGTAAAGACCACCCAAGCCTGACAACCTCAGCTGGACAACCGGGACCTACATGGTATGGAAGGGGAGCACCAGTTTCTATAAGTTGTCATCTAACCAGTACATACACAGAGACAATAAATAAATGTAATTTTCAAATTATTTTTAAAAGATGGGTATCATGGTAAATGCCCTTAGTCCCAGAACTCGAGAAACAGACACATTCAGATGTCTGTGAGTTGCAGGCCATGCTGATCTATGTATCAAATTCCAGGCCTGCCAGGGCTGTATCTCAAAAATATGTAAAAGAAAATTTTTTGAAAAGGTGGATGTGCTGGAAAAAATGGCTCAGAGGATAAGGGTATTTGACCCACTTGCTGATCCAAGCTTAATCCCCAGCACCCTTATGGTAAAAGGAAAGAACAGACTCCTTCAAGCTGTTCTCTAACCTCCACATACATGCCATGGCTCACATGCTCACACACACACACACCACACATAATAAATGTAAGAATAAAATATACAACTAAGATGGGCAGTGATTGAGTAGGTCACCCAATACTGGCCTCTCTTTGCCCTCCACATATATGTGCATTTGTGTATAACTGCACCCATATACTTAAAAACACATAAAGTACTCTCTATGTGCTAGGAACTAACTCCATAGTAAAGCACTTTCTTAGAATGCTCAAGTCTCTGGGTTTGATCCCCAGTGCCACAGAATGAAAAGAGAAAGAAGAAAGGGAGAGGAGGGAAAAGAGAAGAAAGAAGGGAGAAAGAACTTCCTTGGTAGTGATCCAAAATACTATTTGTAACAGGGGTTGAAAATATCCTACACATTGCCAAAAGTTCCAGAGTGAGTCAAAAGGAATTATTTAAATAAATATGGTACACCCACACAATGAATGGGTGTTCTGGATAGCTGCCCCCTTTTCTTTTGAAACAATATTAACAAAAAATAAAACAAGCAGGTGTAAAGCAGTACATATGTTTTCATGCAATTTATATACTTTATAATATGCGCTCCTTCATGGAAGGAGTGTATCCTGAGAATTGCATCACATCCTTGCTATGCAAACATTGGCAATATTTAAGACACCACTAAACAATGTGAGCATGGTAGCTCTCGCTTGTAATTTTCACCAATCGGGAAGCTGAGCAAGACTATTACAATGAGTTCAAGAATAGCCTAGGTTGAGATCCTCTCATAAAAACATGTCAGGGACCACCTGAGGGAACTCGCCAACTTCAGAGACCACCTGTGGAAGCTTACCAACTTGCCTCAATTTGCCTGTTCCCTTACCTGCAGTAAACATACTGCTTGGAGATGTCAGAGACCACCTGTAGAAACTCATCAACCTGCCTCAACTTGCCCATTCCCTTACGCGGTAAACATACTGCTTGGCAACAGCAGAGATGTGCTCACAGAACCATGGCTTATCACAAGATGTTTCAGGCCCCTGGCCGAGAAGAATCTGTAATTTTTCACCCACCCTACTTCCTTATCCTAAACCCTTTATAAAAGCTGATTCTGCTCAGTAAAGTCAGTCCTTGACAAGCACCTGTTTGCTTGGACTGGTTTCTCTTTCTCGCCCATCTTTCACAGGTTTGGATTCTCTTTTACCCCGCGAATAACCTTAGCTCCGCTGGCCGGAGCAAAAACACCTAACAGGGATTGGGGTAAGGCTCAGTTGCAACAGTGTTTGCTTTAGTGTGTGGTGGCCATTCCTGTTACCCATGCACTTGGGAGGAGAAAATCAGGAAGATCAAAAAGTTCAAAGCCATTATCAACTATGTAATGAGTCTGAAGTACTTGAGACCAGCTCAAAACAAACAAACAAAAAAAAAAACCAAAACTTGTGTGTGTGTTGCTAGGTTGAAAGCAAGGGTCTCTCCCATGCTAAATATGATCTCTACATGTCTATGCCTGAAAATGACTTCTTGATATGAGGAATGGCCCCATAGCTGGACAACAGGAGAATGCAAGGACTTTCTCTAATCAAAGATACCACTGCTTGCTTTAGTGACACCCTACTTTATCTTATCACTTTCTGTTTTAGTAACAGTCTCAGGATCTCTTTGCCACCTCTCTCACTCTTCCCCTTTTCCTTTCTCTTTGATTCTTCCTTTTAACTACTTTTTAATTGTATTCTTATTACAGTATTCCTATTACATTTTATAGAATGTGCATGTGTGTATATGTGTATGTATTTGTGTGTGTGTGTGTGTGTGTGTGTGTGTGTGTGTGTGTGTGTGTGATGCATGCATGCATCCACATATGTGGAGATCAGAGGATAACCAGTAGGAATTAGCTCTCCTGCTCCACCATGTGGGTGCTGAAAGCTAAACTCAGCATGTCAGCCTTAAAGGCAATTGCCTTCACCCACCAACTCACTTGACTCACAACTAATTTTTAGTTTAAGTTAATGTTTTCACTGACACATAGAAACAAATACATCTTATAGGGTACCCCTTACAGAGTCATTTTCTGTGTATTTGCTGTGCCAAGGATGAAACCTAGAGTTTTATACATGCCAGGAAAGTGCTCTACCATGGAGCTACACCCCTAACCAATCAATACACCTCATACAATCTCTCCTGGCTTATTTTGTTTTAAAATTTAAAATATTATTTATTATTCTTATTGGGGGGTGGTCCTCATGTGAAAGCCAGAGGACAACTTTGTGGAGTCAGTTTTCTCCTTCTACCTTTATGTGGGTTCCAGGGACCAAACTAAGGTTGCCAGGTTTACCCAGGAAGTACCTTTACCTGCTGAGCCATTGTGCCAGCCCCATTTTGTTTTTTGAGATGCAATCCAGGTTGGCCTCCATCTGACTCTGATTCTCCTGCCCCCACCTAAGGTGCTTGTAACCACACCTGGTCTATGTAGTGTTAGGTAATAGAACCCAGAGCTTATGGCATGCTAGGCAAGCAGTGTACCAACCAAGCTACTCCTCGGCCCTGTATTGTGGCTACACTTCTTCATTCTCTACTCAGTTTCTTTAGATAGGACTATCATAGTGTTGCCCAGACTGTTCCTGAACTCTAGGAGGGCTCATTCAATGTTCCTGCCTGTGCGTTCCAAATAGCTGAGATTACAGGTATGCTCTATCAAATTCAGGTCATCAGGCTTAGCAGAAAGTGTCTATCTCCTGAACCATCTCCTACATCCTTAACTTCTCTCCTTCCATCCATCCCTTTCTTCTCTCCTCCCTCCTTCCTTCCTCTTCTCTCCCTCTCCCTGTTCTTTCTTCCTCCCTCACTCAATCCTTTCCTTCTTCCTTCTCTTCGCTCACTCCTTTCTTTTCTTTTTGAGATTGACTCTTATTTAGCCCAGGCTAGCCATGATCTCATTATGTAGCAGAGGATAACCTTGAGCATTTAATCCTCCTGTCTTGATCTTCCCAATGTTGGAAACCAGAGAAAATGGCACTGGAAATAAAAACTGAGAAGTAGTCCACATACTGAGCTATATCCTGGCTTTGTTTCTTAACTTTTTTATTAATTTAATTTATTTCACAACTTCATATATGTATATAACACATTCTGATTACTCTGATCACTCTTACCCTCACTCTCTCTCAACACCTATCCACCACCTTAAGCCTTTCCTCCCTACAAAGCCTTTCCTCACATTCATGTCTTTCTGTTTTGCTTTGTGACACAGAGTTAAAGCAGAGCCATCTGGATGGTCATGGGTTCCAGTATATACCAGAAGCTAGTGGGCTCAGCTGTGGGTACACAACTGAAGACAATGTCTCCCCCTTTTCCAGAGTCTATTAGTAGCCAACAATTCAGCAGGGAGCAGTGGGGCTCATAATTTTTTGGAAGGTTTTTAATCTATATGCTTGTTACATTTTTTAGATATTTCCAGGGCAGTGTATGCCACAGCATCCTTATGTTAGGACGGACAGCAACCTGGAGTCAGCTTCCACCTTCCACCACACAGGTCCAGCTACTTTACTGCTGAGATGTCTCACCCACCCTCAGTTTCTTAATATCTGTTCTAACTCACTCTCTCACAACCTCTTTCAAAAGGCCTTTTAATGATCTGCCACACTTCTTCCCCCTGACCCATAGTGATTACAGGCCTTGGTGCCCTTGGAACAAATGGCTCAGTGCTGGCTAGGGGCATCCCTGGATCTGTGTTACACTGCCACCCTGCAACAACAGGAAGGCTGAGCTAAGGGGACTATTCACACACAGCTTGGGGATCCCAGCTGAGCCCAGCCACCTGGGCTGCACCCACTCACCAGTGTCCAGAGCACATAGATGGTGAAGAGGGCAATGGTGAGGGCAATGAGCCCCACGGCCTCCAGCCGGCTGTGCAGACGGAGGTGGTCCTGGGCCCCTCGCAGGCACAGCCAGCCTGAGATGGCGGCCAGCGGTGTGATGAACACGAAGCACACCATATCACAACACAGTGTCCGCTTCTCCGTGCGGGGCCCTGGGTCCTTCAGCCACTGCAGAGGAGCAGATGAGGGAGAAGGTTATTTGGAGGGGTGCTGAAGAAGGGATGGAGCTGGGAGGCTAAAGGCCTGAATCTCCACTTTAAAAAAAAATAACACTGTTCCGCTAAGTGCTTGCCCCATTTTACTGATGGGCAAATGGAGGCAACAGAGGAGTTAACTCATTCATGCAAATTCACATAGATAGAGCAGATTGACTATTCCTATTCTAAAACTCTGTAATCCAATGTTCTACAATCTGAAACTAAAATACCAACATAATGGAGAGCTGGGGCAGAAGTTAAAAGCACTTGCTACTCTTCCAAAGGACCAAAGTTCAGTTCCCATCATCCATACCAAGGGCTCACAACCAACCACCTGTAACTCCAGCTCCAGGGGATCCCATGTCTTCTATTGTCCTTTCAGCACTTGCACACAAGTGAACATACATATACTTCTTAAATAAAAAGTAAAAATAAATCCTTTTTTGTTTGTTTGTTGTTTTTTGAAACAGAGTCTCTCTTTGTAGTCATGACTATCCTAGAGCTCCCTATATAAACCAGGCTGGCCTTGAACTCAAAGATACTCCTGCCTCTGCCTCCGTAGTGCTAGGGTTAAAGGTGTGCATCAGTGTGCTCAGCTTAAAAACAAATCCTTAAATGCCATTGTAGTACAAGTAGAAAATTCCACACCATGAAACTATATTTTATGTCTACATCATCATCATCACCACCACTGTGGAGGGTTGTTATTGTTTTCTGAGACAGGGTCTCATGCAACCCAAGTGGGCCTTGAACTTCTGACCCTCATGCTTCCAGGTGCTGAAAAGATGGTACAATGCCCAACCAAAATTATTTAAAATATTTTATTTGGGGATATAATTTAATGGGACAGCTCTTGCCTGGCATGAGTAAGGCAAGGCTCTAGGTTCAATTACTAATACCATCCTAGAAAAGAAAGAAACAGAGAAGGGTGGAGATGTGGTGACACACACCTGTAATTCTAATACCTGAGAAATATAGGAAGAAGGATCATGAGTTTAAGGTCAGCCTCTGCAAGTATGAGGTTCTCCTAGAATACATGAGATCCCTCTTTGACTGAATGGTGGTTTGAATAGAAATGACCCATTTATGCTCACAAATACTTAGTCCCCATTTGGTAGAACTTTGAGGGCAGGTGTTAAGGCTTGCAGGTAAAAATACAAACTCTCAGATACTGAACCTTGCCTGCCTGCCTGCTGCCATGCTCCCTGGCAAGATGGTCATGCGCTCACCCTCTGAGACTGCAAGCCCCCAATAAACTCTTCCTTCTAAGTTGCCTTGGTCACAGTGTCTTATCACAGCAATAGGAGAGAATAGATTTTTTACATGTGTGCACACATGTATATATGTATATGTGTGCATGTCTGTGGGTGGCTATGAAAGCCATATAAGGGAGTCAGAGCCCTTCAGAAGCTAGAGTTAAAGCGGTTCTGAGTAGCCTGATGTGAGTGCTAGAAACTGAACTTTAGTCCTCCAAAAGAACAATAAGTGATTTTAATGCTGAACCATCTCTCTCCAGAGAGATGGGGGAGAGAGAAAAAGAAAGAACTGACACCATATATGTTGACTAAGTAGAGGAGAACTTGCCTAGTGAGAGCAAGGCCCTGGGTTCCAACTCCAGCAATACAAAAATAATTAATTAAAGTAAAATATTGTTATAAACTTACCTCAGGATGAGAGTATATATGAAATGCGAATGGATTTCCTTTCAACTTGGATCCCAAAGTACCCCTTATTACCCATAAAAACATTCCAAAATCCCAAACACTCAAAACCAAAACCATTCCAGTCCCAATCATTTATTTCCCAAAGACAGAGTCTCACATAGCCTAGGCTGAACATGAACTCAACAAAATATGACAAGGCTGGCTTTGAGCTTCTGATCCCCATGCCATTACCTCCTCAGTGCTGGGACTATAGGCGTGTGGCACTACACAGGGTTTTATGAAGTGTTGAGGATCAGATCCAGGACTTCATGAATGATGAACCATAGACCAGATAATCACAGACCCTAGGCCCAAGGTGTAGCCTAGTCTGGCCTTGACTCTGTGATCCTTCTGACTCTTTAGCAAACTACCTATGTATACCACCACAACCAGCCCAAGTGTTTTGGATAAGGGTTATAGCACCTTTTGTCACTATTATCAGACAGACTCCCAAGATGATGGACCAAGAGAAATAAGCATGGCTCATAGAAGAATCCAAGGAAGGTAGCAGAAAGGCTCCCTGTTCTCATGTGCTAGTAAGAAAGATATGAAACAGGGAAAAAAGAGAGAGAGAAATCTATCTGCTGGGTATGGTAGGGCATGCCTTGAATCCCAACACTTGGGAGGCAGGGGCAATCTCTGATCCCTGTGAATTCAAGGCTAGCCTAGTCTACAAATTGAGCTCCAAGACAGCCCAGGGCTACACAGAGAGAAACCCTGTCTCAGAAAAAAACCAAAAAGAAAAAAAAGAAGCAGAGAAAGTTGGAGCCAGCAAGACAAGAGTGGGCAAAGCACTTGCCACACAAGGTTGATCACCTGAGTTCAATTCCCAGAACACAACACAAAGAAACTCCCTGTACGTCATCCTCCAACCTCCACGTCTGTGCTCTGCCATACATCTGAGCATAAACACACACATGCACACACACAGATTTTTAAAATGGGGAAGATGGCAAGGGAGCTAAAGGCCTTGAGAAAACCAAAAGGGGTGGGAAGGGGGATAGCACTGCAGACTGCAGGTGCATCATACACAAAGGCCCTATGGTAGGGCCTCTTAAAGTGGCACAATGAGGAGATGGTGTGTGCAGAGACTAGTCCTTCTCATTGTCTCCTTGGAGCCCAGCTCCCAGGTGGGCTAGAGGCTTTACTTTGGTCTCCTAAGTGACCCACAGTGGCCTTGACTAATCTGGGCAGTACTTCCTGGTCTCAGGACTTGACATTGCTCCTCACACTTTAGCCCAGTGATTTTCATGCTTACACTGCAAACACTTTAACCGCAAAGCCACCTCAGATGTTTGTTCGCATATCCCCAAGAATAGTATTACACAACAGGTGTAATGTAGCCCAGATTGGCTTAAAACTCCCTTAAAATGTAACCAAGGATAACTTTCAACTTTTTTTTTTTTCCAGGGGGAGGGGAGTTTCAAGACAGGATTTCTCTGGTAGTCTAGGCTGTCTTGGACTCACTTTGTAGACCAGGCTGGCCTTGAACTCACAGAGATCTGCCTGTGTTTACCTCCCAGAGTGCTGGGATTCATGTACCACCACACCTGGCTGACCTTCAACTTCTAATCCCCTTGCCTCAAACTCTCAAGAGCTGGGATTCTTGCTTGACTCTGCAGACTAAGCTCAGGGCTTCATGTATGCTATGTAAGCATTCCACCACTCCCAGCCCTTTTCTTAGACTGACCTACCTAACTGTTCAAGCTCCTTGTGGCCTCGGTGCCTTTGCACTTGCTGTGCTCTCTGCCAGGACTGTCTTCTCCCTAGGCTAAATTCCTGTTCTTAATCCCTTAGGTCTCAACTTGGGGATTTACCCCAAACCAAAGCCTTTTCCTCACCTACACAATCGAAATCCTTATGTGTGTTTGTGTGTTGGTGTATGAGTACGGAAAAGCATGTGCCACAGCATACAAGTGGATGTCAATGGCAAACTCAGATGTCAGTCCTCACCTTCCATTCTGACACAGGGTCTACCTGATGTTTTTCCTCTTGTGTAAGCCTGGCTTTATCCACCTCCTATCTTGCCTTAGGAACACTGGGATTACAGAAATGAGCTACTACACCTGGCTTCATGTGGATTCTGGGGATTTGAATTCAGGCCCTTGCACTTCTATGGCAAGCACTTTATCCACTGAGCTATCTCCCAGCTCCTAAGACAGCTCTTGACCCCAAGTGTTGCCTTGCACACATCCCACTCCTGCAACATTTCCTGTGATGTTTAATAGGTTTTTTAAAAATTAATTTCTCTACTTTATGTCCACTGGTGTTTTGCCTGTATGTCTGTGTGAGGGTGTCAGATCTCCTGAAACTGGAGTGACAGAAAGTTGTGAGCTGCCATGTGGATGCTGGGAATTGAACCTGGGTCCTCTGGAAGAGCGGCCAGTGCTCCTAACTCCTGAGCCATGTCTCCAGCCTGGGTGGCACTATCTTATAGGCTGGCCTGAACAGTGAAAGGAGAGCTGTGAGCAGTGGTGTTGCTTGCTTTCCACTTCTAGACTACAATACAATGATACAACGTTGCCAACTATCATGTTTGAGAGAGTTAGAACCACCAAGACCTTCCTGAAGTGATGGAATGTGACCTGGAACATAACAAAGCCTTTCCTGTTTAAGTTGCTTTTGCCAGGATGTTTTAGCACAGCAAACAGGACAGGAACTAAAACACCCTCATAATTGTTCCTAACTACCAACTAGCCTGTTGGGAGATCATGTGGACATTATTAACTAAGGCCCAGCACTTGACAAAACACTGGGCACTCCAGAGGTGCTCAAAGAAATACTTGGTGGGGCTGGAAAGATGGCTCAGAGGTTAAGAGTGCTTCTATTAGCTGCTCTTCCAGAAGTCCTGAGTTCAATAACCATCTATAACGAGATCTGGTGCCCTCTTCTGGCATGCAGGTATACACGCAGGCAGAACACTGTATATGTAATAAATAAATCTTAAGAAAGACAAACAGACCGACTGACTGAATGACTTGGTGATCTGAGCTTGGTGGCACATGCCATAACTCTGAGACAGAAGGATTCCAAGCTTCAGGCCAATTGGGGCTATAACAGATAGATAGGTAGGTAAGAAGGTTGGTAGGTAGGTAGGTAGAAAGATAGGTAAGTAGAGAGATAAGTGGGTAGAGAGAGATAGACAGACAGATAGATAGAAGGTTAGTAAGATGGCTCATCAGGTAAAGGCATTTGACAAACCTGACAAATTTAGTTCTATCCCAAATCCTATATAAGGAAACAAGATAACTTTATTTATTTGTTTGTTTGTGTGTTTATAAATTAGCCTTGGCTATGCTGGACTCACTTTGCGGAACAGCCTGTTAGCCTGGCCTTGAACTCGAAGAGATCCGCCTGCCTACACCTCCCTAGTGCATCACCATGCCCAGCAAGATAACAGAACTTCTGCTTGTTATCCTCTGACCAACAGTCATGTGCCATGGCACATGTGTGCCACATGCACATGTAACTACTTAATATTTTAAAAATATTTTAGGAAGAAACAGCAGCATGGCATGGTAGTACGCAGCTTTAATTCCAGACCTCAGGAAGCAAAGGCACACAGATCTCTGTGAGACCAGCCTGGTTTTTCATAGGGAGTTCTAAGCCAGTTCTAGGGCTACTTAGAGAGACCCTGCCTCAAAAACTGGCCCCAACAACTGGGTAGTGGCAGAAGCAAGAGGATCACAGATTCTTCAAAGCCAGCACACAGCAAGTCTGCATAGCAAGTTCCAGGCTAGCCAGGGCTACATAATACAACTTTGTCTTTAAATAAATAAATAGCAAACAAATAAAAGCCATGGTGTGGTGGTGTACTGTTAATCCCAGTATGTGGGAGGTAGAGGCAAAAGAATCAGGAGTTTAAGGCCAGACTGTTAATAGCAAGCTGTAGGCCAGCTTGAGAGCATGTCTCAAAAAAATAAAAAAGAACTAACAAAGGTAGCCCTAGGGTTTATGCCTTATGATTGTGACAGTCAAAAGTCTGAAGCAAGAGGCTCTCCCTGAGTTCCAGGCCTCCCTGAGCTAAAATGACAACCTATTTCAAAAAAATTAAAACCCAGCCCAGTACGGTGGTGCATGCTTGTAATCATGATACTCAAGAACCAGAGATAGGAGGACAGTAGCAAATTCAATGCTAATATTAAAAGTTGGGAGCTGGCTGGGGCTGGTGTTGTGGCTTAGTTGATAGAGGGCTAGCCTAGTATGCATGAAGCCCTGGGTTCCATTGCTAGCACTGTATAAACCAAAGGTGATACTGCATGTCTGTAATCCCAGCACTTGAAAAGTAAAGGCTGGATGATCAGGAGTTGGAAAGTCATCTTCAGGTCGTCAGCTAAAAACTGCCTTGAAGACAGCCTAGAACACCTGAGTCTCTGCTTCAGAAATAAAGCAAAAGAACAATCTGAGAGGACAAAGAATGGGATAGCTGGCAGAGGCTAGCAGACCTGCAGCCTCTGGTCACTTGGGTTCCCACACATCAGCAGATCCCTCCCAGCATTGGCAGGGACATGATCAGCTTTCGCAGCTGACCTGGGCAGCTACTACCTCTGTCCCCGAATTGCCCTTCCTCCTTCTGGTTGTCCAGTCTTCCCCAAAGCTATATACCTCTGTGAGAGGTCGGGGCTGCTTTTCCACTGCAAACTCAGTATGACATAGCTCACAGTAGCTTGTGTTGGAGGAAGACAGCCATTTCTCCAGACAGCTCTTGTGCACAGCTCCCAGTGTGCCGGTACAGCCACATGGGGACAGCAAGTTTTCCCCATTCGCTCCCTCATGGCAGATTCGGCAGAAGGGACAGTCACTGGAGGGATACAGAAATAAAACTTGTGAATGATGGATAGTAGGGCTTCTTGCTTACACTGGCAGCAGTGCTTGCTAGGTTACAAGTTCTCTGTCACTCCCAGGTTGCTGTTTGGTAAATTCCTGCTCATTCTTCAATGGCCCAGCTTCAGATATCCTCTTCTTCACATAACTTTTTCAAACTCCCATGTGATAGGCACATGTGCTCCTTCTACAGAGCTACTGTGGGCTCTTTGTAGCCTGGGGGAGAATCCTGTCCACCTGCCTGCCTAATGTCTCTTCTTTTAATGAAATAATAGCATGATATTCCTAAGTAACCATCCATTGTTGGTGGTCTCTCTACGGTTCATTCTTGGTCCTTCTCATGGTTTATACTGTCAGCTTGACAGGATGTAAAATCACCTTGGAAGTAAATATAAATCTCTGGGCATATCTGTGAGAGACTTTCTAAACTGGGTTAACAGAAGTGGGGAAACCCACCCCAAACATGAATTATATCATTCTATGTGCTAGGATCCTGGACTGACTAAAAAGGAGGAAGTGGGGACACAAGATGGCTCAGTGGATGAAGGTGCTTGCTGAAAGGTCTGATGACCAGAGTTCAATCTCTGGAGCCCACATGGTGCAAGAGTCTCCTGACCTCCACACACATGCCATGGCATGTATACAGGAGTGCGCACACACCCACGCATATACACTAATAATTTTTTTAAGGAAAAAGAAAACTGAACACAAGCATTCATCTCTCTGATTCCTAAGCTTCCTAACTATGACTGCAATGTGACCAACCATCTCAGATGCTCCTGCCACTGTGGCTTCCCAGCCATGATGGACAGTAGCTTGGAACTGTGACTCAAAATAAGCCTTTCCTTCTTAGTTGCTTTTGTCAGGTATTTTGTCAAAGCAACAAGACAAGTAACTAATGCAGTCCTCAAGAAGTACAACAGACATGATCACAAACACACACACGGTAATATACATCACACAGAGGATTACAATATATACGCTAACATATCACACATTTACACACATATACAGCAATACAAATGATGACACACACATCCCACACACACATGATCACCACACATGCATATACTAATACATGTTACACCCACAAGATTTTTTAAAAAGACATCAAAAACTCCTGGCTCTATCTGCACCTAAAGGTCACACTGTCTGAGAAACCTGTGCATGTGAGGAAATCACTCATCTGTTTTTCTGTGTACGACCAAGGAAGACAAAGGGTGGGATGGGTGAACAGGCACAGAAACCATCCACACACAGCCCAGTCTCTGGGGATGTTGGGTTCTTCCTGGGTCAGCTCAGGAAGGCAGGAGGTGGGGCTACCCAGTACATGAGTCATTGTTTTCTAAATGTTTCTGCCCAGAGAGCATAGTTGTCAGGAACACACACACACATGCACGTGCATGCTTCCCCACACAGTGTGGGGGAAGGAGGGAGGAAGAGAGCTAGCTCTCTTTTCTAGATAAGGGTGTTTCCCACTCCCCAACCCTTTTCTCCAGGTTTCCTATTGTGTGGTGGAAGCCTAGCTATTCTAAGAGTGCAACAGTGGGCTGGAGAGAAGGCTCAGAGGTTAAGAATGCTCGCTGTTCTTCCAAAGGTTTTGAGTTCAATTCCCAGCAACCCACATAGTGGCTCATAACCATGTATAGTAAGAGCTGGTGTGCAGACAGAATGTTGTATAAGTAATAAATAAAATCTTAAAAAAAAAAAAAAAAAAGAGTACAACAGAGGGCTGGAGCTGCAGCTTAGTTGGCAGAGTACCAGCATAGTATTCAAAGCCTGGGTTCCATCTCCACCACCAGAACCACATAAAACAGGCATTGTGAACCCAGCCCTTTGGAGGTAGAGATAGGAGAATTAGGAGTTCAAGGCTGAAGCTCAGCCTGGGCTACATGGGACCCTGTCTCAAAACAAACAAAAATGCCTACAGACCAGATCTCAAAAGACAAGGCTCAAAATCTTTCCTTTCAGCTCAGTCTCTAAGATGCTGTTTTCTTTCTCACTTTCTCTTTTTTTTTGGGTGGGGGTGGTGGAGTGGGGTGGAAGAACAGGGTTTTTCTGTGTAACAGTCCTGGCTGTCCTGGATTTACTTTATAGACCAGGCTAGCCTCAAACTCACAGCGCTCTGCCTGCCTCTACCTTCCTGAATGCTGGGATTAAAGGCATGTGCTACCATGCAGTACCAAAGGGCCACTAAGGAGATAGAACAGATACTCAGGTAGTAAAGAGCTGGCCATGCAAGCCTAAGAACTAGAGTTTGTATCCTCAATGTCCACAGAAATACCAGCTGGGTGTGGTGGTCCTTGGGTATTCCCTAGCACCTAGGAAATAGAGCTGGTTTCCCCATAACAAACTTAGTATTTAGAGTAGCAAAGTCATCAATTTCTGGGTTTAAGTCAGAGACCCAGCCTCATCACGCACGTGTGTGGACCTGTGTTGAAAAGAGGTCAAGACACCTGATATCAGCCTCTGCTCTTCACAAACACACATGTACACACAACTGCACATGTGTGTACCCACACATAGGCAAACTCTCACACACACTTACAGGTATGTATACACATAGACACACGCACACACACAGTTCACAGGAAAGAACTCCCCTTTCCGAACAACACTTCCAACAAAGGCAGAGAACTATAGTTTACTGAGCACTCCCATTGTATGAGGCACTTCTGGGATATTTTGTTTTGTTGTTTTACTTAATTTATTTTTCTCTTATGTTAGTGTGTGCATATATGTATGAGTGTGTGTGTGTCATGACACATGGGTAGAGGTCAGACAGAAGACAACCTCCTACCTTGTTTGAGGCATGGTCAGTGATCGGTGCTGTATGTACCAGGCTTGCTCTCCTGAACTTCTGAAGCTTCACCTGTCTCCATTCCTACCTCTCTGTAGGAGGTTTGCAGGCTGGAATAATGAATCTGGGTTTCTACATGGATTCTGGGGATTTGAACTCAGGTCCTTATACTTGTATAGCAAGCCTTTTACCAATTGAACCATCTTTCCATCCTGCTTTTATTTATTTTAAGACATGGTTTCCAGGGCTACACAGGTTTCCAGAGAAACGCTGTCTTAAAAAGTAATAAAATAATAAAATAAAAAATAAAAGAAAGAAAGACAGACAGACTGGTTTCATTACGTAGCTCTGACTGACCTGGAACTCACTATGTAGACCAGGCCAGCACCAAACTCATAAAGATCTGCATGCCTCTGACTCTCAAGTGCTAGTATTAAAGACACATGCCACCACACCCAACTTCAACTGGTTTTTTGCTTGTTTGTTTTTTAGACAGAGTCTCATATAGCCCAGGTTAGCTTCTAACTTGCCACTACAGCTGAGGACAATCTTGAATTCCTGGCCCTCCTATGTCTACCTCTCTAGTCCTGGGAAGCCAGGCACATGTCACCCTGCCTAACTTTGTTTTTATATTTATTTCTTTATTTTTTATTTATTTAGAGACAGAGTCTCATTATGTAGCCCTGACTGGCCTGGAACTTGTCATATAGACCAAGCTAGCCTTGAACTCACAAAAATCCACCTATCTCTACCGTTCTGAGTATGGGTACCACCATGCTCATTTGTTTTGCTTTTTGAAATGCGGTCTCACAGGAACTCACGGCATAACCCAGGCTGGCTTGGGTTCACTGCGCTGCAAAAGCCAATCTTAAACTGATGTCCTCCCCCTAGCTCCCCCTGGCTCCAGAACTGTGGCTATAGGCTGTATAGGTGTAATACTGGGCTTCATTTATCTCATTCTCACAATGAACCTTGGAGAAAAGGGCTCACTTCCACTTTACAGATGCCAGAAAGTCCTGTTGACTAAGTGGGTCTTGAAGGTTGCTTGCAAATAGTTCCAGCTACTCTGATGAAGATGATGAAAGCTTTCATGTCCAGAGGAAGGAAGGTCACTGGAACTACCTGAGATCCTAGACACTAACTCCTGCACCACTCCTGATAACTCTATTCCATTGCTTCTCAGTCACACATGATCTTTTCTGTGATCTAGGAGGTGTTAAGCTATACAGTACATGGGAAGTTCATGAAAGGGGACTCCACCTATGGTGCTATAGGGAAGTCATCATTAATGCTGGTGAGATCTTCTGGTGATGCAACTATTCTGGGTTACTCATGCTCCTGGAGGTAACCACTTGCCCTTGCTCTGTAAGTAAGCCCAGTAAATTCATTGGTCCCCACAATTCGATTTTGGTGGAACTGTACTTTAGTCTGTCATTGGTGCCTGTGTTGGTTTGAAAGAAAATGGTCCTCATAGGCTCATATGGAGTGACACTATTAGGAGATACGGCCTTGTCGGAGTAGATGTAGCCTTGTTGGAAGAAGTATGTCTCAGTTCAGTTCCTACTGCCTGCCAATTCGAATACAGAACTCTCAGCTCCTTCTCCAGCACCATGTGTGCCTGTATGCTGCCACACTTTCTTCCATGATGATAATAAACTAAACTTCTGACACCGTAAGCCAACCTCAAATAAATGTTTTCTTTTATAAGAGTTGCCATGGGGGCTAGAGATGGCTCAGTGGTTAAGAGCACTGGCTGCTCTTCCCGAGGACTGAGGTTCAGTACCCAGCACCCACATGGCAGTCCACAACTGTCTGGGATCTGACACCCTCGCACAGATATGAATGCAGACAAAAGCACCAGTGCACATAAAATAAAAATTAAATAAGAGTTGCCATGGTCATGGTGTCTCTTCACAGCAATAGAAACCCGAAGTAAGACAGCAGGGCTATCGAGGGAAGAAACAAACTTTTGTTTATATCTCCTCAGGAAAAAGTCCATGAAATAATTGTCAACACTTGATCTTCAGATTTCTCATAATCACCTAAAATTTGAGTGCTGAATGGAGAATCCATGGTTTTGCCCATATAAGCAAGCACTCTATCAGTGAGCCACATCCCCAGTCCCAAATTATTCATTTATTAGGAATTTTGAGAAAAGCTCTTGCTATGTAGACTGAGATGGTCTCAAACCATCTGTAGCCCAGGCTTGCCTTGAACTTTAATCCTCTTGCCTCAGCATACAAGTACTAAAGTTTATGGTACGTTCTTTGGTGTGTGTTAGTGTACAGTGTACAGATGGGTGCTGGTGAGCATCCATGTGTACACACACTCACATGGCAGCCTCAGTCAGGTGTCATTCCTCGGCATCCAGTCACCTGCTTTATTAAACAGGGTCTCTCCTGGGCTTGGGAATGCCTACCTTGTTTTTTTTTTTATTACATTTTATTAATTTATTTTGTGTGAGTGAACAGGTAGGTATGTATGTGCCATGCACACATACTGAGGTCAAAGGATAACTTTCAGAAGTTAATTCTCTGTTTTCATCATGTAGAGCCCAGGCATCTAATGCAGGTCAGCAGGCTTTTACCCACTGAGGCATTGCACTAGGTGCCATCTTGTTTATTGAGCCAAGGTCTCTCACTGGCTAGGCTAGATGGCCAACAAATCCCAGGGACCCACCTGTCTCTGCCTCTTCAATTTGGGGATTATAAATCTATGCCACCACACTCAGTTTTGTGTGTACATGTGTGTGCATGTGTTCCTGTCTGTGTGAATGTGTGTATATGTGTATGAAGACCAAAAGCCAACATCAGGTGCTGTTCCTCAGGGGATGTCCACCTGCTTTTTTAAGGAAAGATCTCTAATTAGCCTAGCATTCCAATTAAGGTAGGCTGGCTGGCCAGAGAACTCCAGAGATCTGCTTGTCTCTGTCTCCTCAGTGCTGAGATTACAAACACCGGCCACCATGCCAGGCTGTTTACACAGATCCCAGGGATGGACCTCAGGTCTTCAAGCTTGCAAAGCAAGTACATTATCAACTGGGTCATCTCCCTATCCTCACTGATAGACATGTTCTAGCACACCCAACTATGTGGTATACACACACATACATACACACACACACACACACACACACACACAATATTTATTTGTCTCTGTAAAGAGGAAGTACCCAAGAAGTCCAGAAGAGGGTGTTGACTCCCCTGGAGGTGGAGATCCAGACAGTTTCTAACTGTCCATTGTTTGTACTGGGAACTGAACTCCAGTCCTCTGCAAGAGCAGCATGCGCTCTTCATCACTGAGCCATTTCGCCAACCTTAGTATTAGGGTTTTGTTTGTTTGGTTTTTTTTTCCTCTGCCATGTTCACCCCTTTGCCTTTCTCAGTAACTGAACTCTGACCCCAGACTAGTAGAAAATCACTCAACCCAGAAAGAAATGGGGACAAAAACCAGGACACTAACAGCCACTACTCACCTTGGTGTATCCAAAGCTCGGATGACAGTTGAGAGCAGCCGGCCATCCCTTGAAGTCACCTGTGCTACATACTGGGGCGGCCCCAGCCCTGTGGCTTCCACAACCTTGGAGAAGGCAGGGCTGCCAGAACAGTCACACAGGGAGCCGGGGAGGTGGCAGCAGTCACCTGTCGTCATGGCCACAGGGAGCCTCGTGTCTTCAGGACCTGAGGCCCATGGTCCCAGGAACCTGGTGGGGGAGGCCAGCAGAGAAATCAAAAGCAAAATTAGTGAGTCACAGAAGCAATTGGGTCTCTCCCCCATTTTTTCTAGGTGTGTATGTGTATTTGTACATGTGATTGCAAAAATACGTGCGTGAGTACAAGCGAACATGTGCCACAGACATGAGCAGAGGTCAGAGATCCAAGAATTCTCTTGTCTTCCACTTTGTTTGAGACAGCATCTCTTGTTTTCTGCTGTGTGCACCGGACTAGCTGACCCCCAGATTACAGAGATTGCCCTGTCGCCACTGTTTCACAGTGTGAGGGCTGAGAGCATACATAGGCTTACTGTGCCTGAATTTACATGGTTCTGGGAACATAAACTAAGGCCCTCACATCTGTGCAGACAGCAGTTATCTGCAGAATGGTCTCCCCAGCTGGAGTCCCTCTTTTGATCTCACTCTGTAGTGCAGGCTAGCCTGGAACTTAAGACCTAAGCCTTCTGAATGCTAGATTTATAGAGCATGCCTCGTTCTTGAGTCCTGTCTTTTCAGGGACTGTGACTGATATTTACTTGTCAAACTGACACAATCGACAATCACCCGGGAAGGGGCTCTCAATGAGAAATTGTCTAAACTAGGTTGGAATGTGGTTGTGCCTTTGAGGGATCTTTTTTTTCTCTTTTTAAATTATGTTTGTTTCATTTATGTATGTTTATGTATGTGAGCATGTATGTTCCATAGCATGCATATGGAAATCAGAGGATAGCTTGCCGGATTCAGTTCTCTGCTTCCACAATATGGGTCCTAGGGTTTGAGTTTAGGTCATCAGGCTTGGTGGAAAGTGCTTTTACCTGCTGAAACAGCTGGACTCTCTCCTACCTAGGGATTTTCTCCATTGAGTACTTGAAGTGGGAAGCCCCAGCCTGAATGTCCTTTTCACTAATGAAAAGGACAGAGTGAGCTGGGCACTAGCCTGCATTCATTCATTGCTCGCTGTCCCTGATTATAGATGTGATATGATGAATGCCCTCCAGCTCTTGCCACTGTAATTTCCCTAAAGTGATGGCCTGAAACTGTGAGCTATAATAAATCCTTTCTTCTCCCCTAAATTGCTTTTGTCATGGTATTTTATCAGTGCAACAAAAATGACACTAAAACAGGGCTCTAAGACTATGGACAAAGACGTGCCTCTTTGAATCACTATTTGCATCTGTAAGATGTAGGTGTGAGAACTCTATGAGCTGATGAAGACAACTTAGGCCAGGCTTGGAGGACAGCTGGGGCGTGTGCTAGATTTTCTCTCATTCTTCTAGAAAAAGCCAGGTATTGCCCCACTTCCAAACCTGCCAGTCAGTCTCCAGGTCACTTGTTAGAACAGCAAGTGAAAGTGATTGCACACCTACTGTGTGCCAGGTCCTTTGCTCAGTTTTTTACACAGCCAGAATCATGCTGTTCTATCTAAGACCAGAGCCTTGAGGCTCAGAACATGTTCAACTGTCTTTAGTAAAAGCAGAGTGCATCTAGAGATGCTGCAAGCACAACTCAGAGGTAAAGTACCTATCTAGAATCCAGTGAGGGTCTGGGATATATGGAATAGTAGTAAAGCATGCTCTAGCCTGTGTGAGACTCTAGGTTCAATTCCTAACACACACACACACACACACACACACACACACACACACACACACACAGAAAGAGAGAGAGAGAACTAGAAACTTAATATTCTGCACCAGAATGGTGAGTCACTCAGGCTCCTTGTGACTCATGGCCTCTGTCAGACTGTGCACTCTGGGAGACCTCAGTTCATCAAGGAAATGATGATGTCCTCAGAAGACCAGTTGCTCTGTTCTCAGTTCCCAAGGAGAGGCTACAGAAAATAATAAATATCTCAGTATCCATCTAAAGTCTGCTCTGGGTGACTTTGGTGAGGTCTGCCCTCTGTCTCAGGATCTGATCATCAAATAGGAACCCTATACAGCCTAGTCTTCTTCTCCAGAGTAGCATGAGTAGGATTCTGGCTTCCCAATCTCTGTGTACATTTCTTCTAAGAATGTTTTCTCCGAGGTTAAGAGCACTGGCTGCTCTTTCAAAGGTCCTGAGTTCAATTCCTAGCAACCACAAGGTGGCTCATAACCATTAATGAGATCTGATGTCCTCTTCTGGCATGCAGGCACACATGCAGACAGAACACAATAAATAAATATATTTTTAAAATAAGAATGTTTTTCCTTTCTAGTAGTTGAACTTAGAGACTTGTTTTACTAGGCAAGCATTCTACCACTAAGCTATACTCCCAACTCTTCCCCCAACACACACTTTTAAATGTTTCCTTTTTGACTTTCAAAACTTTTTATTAATTTTATATTCCATTTATTTGTGGAGGAGGGAGTAGATGTGCCACATAATGTACGTGAAGGTCAGAAGACAACTTGCAACAGTTTTCTCCTACCAAGAGGGTTCTGGGGGTTCAAATTCAGGTCATCAGGCTTGCTGGTAAGCACTCTACCCTGTGAGCTATCTCACTGGCCTATAAAGTTTTTTTTTTTTTTTTAATAGTGTTTTGTCTGCATGTGTGCTTGTATGAAAGAAGAGGGCACTAGATCTCATTCTAGATGGTTGTGAGCCACCATGTGGTTGCTGGGAATTGAACTCAGGATTTTTGGAAGAACAGCCAGTGCTCTTAACTCCTGAGCCATTTCTCCAACCCCGGCCTATAAAGTTTTAATTTTAGACAGAGTGCCCAGGCTGACATGGCCTGAACCTTGCCTGGAACTCAAGACCCTCCTGCCTCAGCTCCTCAAGTAATCATATGACTGTGCCATCAGGCCTGGGAGTTCTGAGAAATCCATGAAAGTAACAGAAGGCTCCTTAGTCATCAATCCAAAGCCAAAGATCACTGGTCTCAATTTGTCCAACACCCAGGACTTTTGTCTCTAATCTGGAGCCCACAGCAACCCTAATGGTATTTGTAAGTTCCAACTGATAGGGCCAGCCTTGATAGGGCCAAGTCAACTCTTAGCAGTCCTGCCTGTGAAAATCTGAGATCTAAAGACATGGGCCATAAATTATTAACTGACTTTTTGTACCCAGACGGTCTGCTGACAGATCAGCTCTTCCCTGAGGAGCTCAGCTAAAAACCCAGCATGACCTCCTAGGCCTCCACAGCTGAGCCAGAGGTCAGATAAGCAAGTATCAACCAAAGTCAGACACATGTAGGAGGAAGGCTGAGAGCTGGTGATAACAGCCACAGGGCATTGGCCAGGCCTCCTTTGCTGTGGACACTTCAACCAGTATGTACAGTTGAGAGTCAGTGGGGAAGTGCTGGGCCCAACTAGAGAATGCATGCAGAAAAAATTCCACCTCAACCTCTGATGATTCGTTTTAGCTTCTTTCCCTTTCCTTCCTTTTTTCTCTCCCACCTTCCTTTTCTCTTTTTCTTTAAAAACAGGATTTCTAGGCTGGCCTAGAATTCACTATACAACCTAAGATGACCTTGAACTATCATTTTTAAAGTTTTTAAACTGTGTTATTTCTATTTTATTTTATGAGCATGGCCATTTTGCCCTCATAAATACCAACGCACCACATGCATGTCTGGTGCCTGTGAGGCAACAAGAGGGCATAAGATCCCTGGAACAGGTGTTACAGATGGTTTTAAACCACCAAGTGGATGCTGGGAATTGACCAGGTCCTCTGGAAAAGTAGCCATTGCTCTTAACGCTGAGTCATCTCTGCAGTCTTGACTTCGAACACTTCATCTTTGCCCCTTCACTTTCTAAATATTGTCATTCTAGGAATACCATGTTTGGTGTATGTAGTTCAGGGATGGAACACAGAGCTTCAAACATGCTAGACAAACACTTTACCAGCTGAACTACATCGCCAGTTCACTTGCTCTTTCTGTCTCTCTGTCTTTCTCTCTCTCTTTCCTTGGTGACAAGGCCTCACTATACAGCTCAGGCAGGAACTCCTTATTCTCCGGCCTCTCTCTTCCAAGTGCTAGAAGATGAGAGATCTTAGAATGTATACAAACAAGTGTACATTACAGGAGTCATCACAGCTCCTTACTTCACCTACTATTGCAGAGACCAACACTAGTAAATCTGCTCATATCAGACCATCAATTGCTAAAAATAGTAACAACAACACTGGGCATAGTGGCATATGCCTGTGATTCCAGCATTCTAGACACTGAGGCAGGAGAATCAACAGTTCAAGTTTATTTTGGCTACAGAGAGCTAGAAGCCAGGTTGGGTTACAAAAGACCTTGCCTCAAAAACCAAAAACCAAAAACCAAAAACCAAACAAAAACATCAGCTGGTAAAATGGTAAAGGCACTGGTGACCTGCGTTCTATTCCCAGAGCCACATGGTGGAAGGGGAGAACACACGCATGCACACACACTGTGCATAGGGGTCCACACTTGTGACCCAGCACTCAAAGTATGAGAGTACAAACTTGTCAGCACAGGAGTCAGGACACGCAATCAGGAGGATCACAAATTCAAGGTCATCCTCAGCTACATACAGAGTTTGAGGACAGTATGGGCTACATGAGACCCTGTCTCAAAAATAAACAATGCAGGGCTGGAGAGATGGCTCAGAGGTTAAGAACACTGACTGTTCTTCGAAAGGTCCTGAGTTCAATTCCCAGCAATCACATGGTGGCTTATAACCATCTATAATGAGATCTGGTGCCCCCTTCTGGCCTGCAGGCACATATGCAGACAGTATACTGTATAAATAATAAATAAATAAATCTTTAAAAAAAACATTTAAAAAAATGAAATAAACATAAACAATGCACATAAAATGCTTTAACTTCAAACGATTGTTGTTAAGTATCTCCTTGTTAAGTGTCTCCCTGGAGTACCTCTCTCAGACTACTCTGGCTAAAACGACACAGGTATCCTTGCCCTCCACCTCATGGCACCGAGTCTTCTTTGAAATGTTCTATTTGTTAATGGATCTGTCATGCCCATCTTCATTCTCTTCAGTGAATTCTGGAAGAGTCCTAGATCTGGCTCAGAGTGACTTCATGTAGCACTGGTTCAATCATTTCTCACTCCCAACTCTGTAACCGACTGGGAGAATCAGTTATATGAGTCTCAGAGGCTAGCCTCCCAGTCTTTAGGATGGGAAACAGTTCCAGAGCTATTGATTTCATTGGGTCTTCACAACAAAACTACGACATAAATCTAGTAATTAGCTTCACTGCTTAAGTTCAGAAAGAGATGCCTGTTTACTCAAAGTTACACAGCTAGCAAGGGACAGTGCCAGAATTTGGACTTAAACTGTACAGTGAATTGTCTGGTCTTCAAGAGACATTGGGTTTGTTGCTGTTATCTTGTTTAACTTATTTGTTATTAATTTTATTAATTATGTTTTAACTTTATTTTACATGTATGAGTGTTTTGTCTGCATGCATGTAGGTATACTATGTGTCTCCAGTGTGCTTGAAGAGGCCAGAAGAGGGAATTGGATCCCCTTGAACTGGAATTACAGATAGCTGTGAACCACTATGTAGGTTCTGGGAACCAATCCCAGGTCCTCTGTTAAGGCAGCAAGTATTGTTAACTCACTCTCCAGGGCCGAATTTTTGTTCCTTTGTTTGCTTTGCTTTGCTTTTGAGACAGTAACCCTAACCCTAACCACATCTGGTATACTACCCTTGAATTCTCAGTGAGTCTCTTGCTGGGATTACAGGCATATATTATCACAATCAGATTTTTTTTTAGACTAATGTATTTACCTTTTTTTGGAAGGAATAAGCTAATAAGGAGTGTGGGAAAAGGTTTATTTACAGGAGTGTGGGCACCTGGCCAGTGGCTATATCACTGAAGAAAATGTTCCTCCCTGAGCAACCAAAAACTGCCCATAGATTCTCAGGAAAAGGCAACATAGCTTCATGAATCTGCCCCCACCCCATGTGTAATATTAGAGATAGAACCCAGCATCTCAAATATGTTAAGTAAACACTGTCACTGAGCTCCATTCCAGCCTTTTGTTTTTCTACCTAGAGTCTTACAGACTTTATTGCCATGTGATTCTGGTTGTATTGAAACTTACAGCAGCCATCCTGCTTCATTCTCCTGAGAGTTTGGACTTGACTGTAGGCACAGGCCACCAAGCCCAGCTTCCAGGAATTTCTTTGAAATGAAATTTTTAAAGGCTGGTAAGATGGCTCCTTAGAAAGGTGCTTGCCACCACCAAGCACCTTGGTGATGAGCTGAGTTTACTCACCAGAACCCACACAGTAGAAAGAGAGAACCGACTTCCAAAGCTGTCTTCTGATATCTACATGTTCTGTAGTGGGTGAGGGCTCACAACCTCCATCTAAACAAAACAAATAATCAACGAATCAATGTTTTTATGTTAAAAACACAGCAATGAGGCTACAGAGATGGGTCAGCAGTTAAGAGCATTTACTGCCCTTGCAGAGGACCTGGGCTTGTTTCCCAGCACCCACATGGTGGCTTACAAGTACCTGTAACTCCAGTTCTAGGTGAGCCAAAACCCTCCTCTGGCTTCTGAGGGCTCTTACATAATAGACATAAATTCATAGAGGCACACATACATCAATAAAAAAACCAAGCAGGCATGTGGCACACACCTTTAATCCCAGCACTTGCAAGGCAGAGGCAGTCAGATCTTTGAGTTCAAAGCCAGCCTAGTCTTCAAAAAGAGTTCCAGGACAGCTAAGGCTACATAGTTAGACTTTGTCTCCAAAATAAAATAAAACAAAAAAATAAGTTAAAAAAATAAAATAAAAATAAACTAAGGGCTGGGGATAGCAATTGCCTAATATGCACAAGGCTCTGGGTTCAATTCCCCCACACTGAAAAGGAAAAAAAAACAAGAAGTAAAAAAAATAAAATAAAATAAACAGTAGCAGAGTTATACTAAGACAGGCCTTGAACTCTTCCTACCTCAGCCTCTAGAATAACTGAGATAACAGGCATGTGCTACCAGGCCTCTGACGTAGGTGCATTGCTCTGCCTCTGATATTGTATATCTGGTTCAAGTCAATTTGCTTTTCCGAGCCTCAACCATCTATCTCTTTATAGTGTGTGTGTGTGTGTGTGTGTGTGTGTGTGTGTGTGTGTGTTGTTGTTGTTGTTGTTTTTTGGCAGTACTGGGTCTGCCAAAAAACAGTTTGAACTCTGGGTCTAGCGCATGCTAGGCAAATATTGAGCTACATCCCCAGTCCTGAAATTAAGTTCTAATCCCAGAGGCTCTACTTCTTGTTTGCTGTGTGGCCTTGTGCAACAGCTTTAACTTCACTGAGTCTCAATTTGTTCATCTGGATGAAGGAATTATTTTTAGTACTTCTACCTAGGATGTTTCCCACTAACCACAGTTTTTAAAAAGTGTTTTCAATTTTATTTATTTGTGTGTGTTTGGACATACACATGTGGGTGTGCTCACGAAAGGGTGTGCCTATGAAGTTCAAAATACAACTTTCTGGAGTCTGCTCTTTCTTTTTCCATATGAGACCTCAAGACTGAACTCCGGCAAGCACCTTGACCAGCTGAGCCATTCTGCCAGTCCCTGACTACCATTTGAAAAACATCTCCAGTACAGTGCACTCTGAGTAGCTTCTTGTAAAGTGCCCAACTCTTCATAATGTTATTAACCAGACAGAACCCTTGTGAAAAGGGTTACAGAGTGACATTAGCTACTTATTGACCACCTACTATATGCAAGGCGCTTTTCTCATCAGCCATCTCTTAAATCAGGTTGGCTCCGGGATGACCCACTTTTCATAGATGGGGAAACCGAGGCTCACAGAGGTTCCTACTGCGTGCCGAGGCACGGAGACCTCGCCCCAACCTTAAACTGAAAACCGAGGTGGCTGCGTCCCGAGCAGGGCTGAGGCCAAGAGTGCAGACCTAGCTGTCCCGCCCGAGTGCTAAGCAGGGGCCTCGAACCCGGAACCGGAGACCAGCCTGCATACTGGAGCCCGACCCGCTCGCTATTCCGTTCCTACCTGATCCGCGGCCGGGCCGGGCGGCCGCGCAGGCCCCTCGGTTCTCCCTGGCCTGGGTCCCGGCCCGGCCCGGCCGGTCAGCAGCTGCTTGCTCCGGCTCCAGCGGGCACCTGCGTCCGGGCACCGCCCGCCGAGCCGACAGCACGGCAAACCAATGAGGACCGCCTCTGAAGAACATCGACCAATCAGTATGTATGTCCCGCCCCAGGAGGTAGGGCCTGCACCTACGGGGACGTCCTGGGCGGTTCAAGCCCCGCGGCGCCGCAGCTTCTTGCTCCGCCCCCAGAGCGGGCCCCGCCTCATCCCGGCTCCTCCCCATCCCAAGCTCAGTCAGTAGGCTTGCTGCCATAACCTGCAGCAGAACAAAGGCAAGCTTAGGTAAATAACGCCGCGACATAATTGAACTTGACTCTTGCCAAGAGACTTCTTTACGCTTCTATTTTCCGTCTTTTTCGAAGACAAAATCGTAGGTAGATCAGGCTAGTCTCGAACTCACTTTGTAGCCAAAGATGACCTTGACCCTCTGATCCTCTGGCCTCCACCTTCCTATGGGGTACTTGAATGGTATTAAGGACTTCGTGCGTGGTGGGCACAAACAGTTCGAACTGAGACACGTCCTTATCACACTTAGCAATCCTAGGGTAAGACGAGACAGTATGATTACGTTTTGCAGAGGTAAACCAGTCCAGAAAGGCAAAGATGCTGTGGGGGAGATTAAAGCCATCATCATTTATTCATCACTCATTCATGCAAGAGATACATTCAAGGGGATGGAGATATGGCTCAGAGGTTAAGAGCATTGGCTGCACTTCCAGAGGAGTTTGGTTCAGTTCCCAGCACCCACATAGCAGCTCACAGCTGTCTGTCTGTAACTCCAGTTCCAGGCAACCTGAAAAAAACACCAATGCACATAAAATAAAATCAAGTTTTTGGGTTTCTTAAGAGATACATTTTTAAAATGAAGCAACAGATGGTAGAAAGAGCTGTGGAGACTGCTCAGTGGACAAGGGGTCTCCTGGCAAACATGAGGATCTGAATTAAAATCCCCAACACCGACAAAAATAAAAAATTAAATAAATAAATAAAAGATAAATAAATAAATAAATAAGTAAATAAATAAATAAATAAATAAATAAATAAGTAAATAAATAAATAAATAAATAAAAGAGCTGAATGTGGCCTCAAACTTCTATTACTCCAGTGTTGTGGATGGTGTAGAGAGGAAGGGGGGCTGGGGCTGGCTGACTGCCAATCTAGCACTAGTTTCAGTGACAGACCCTGCCTTAAGAGAATAAGGCAATGACCATGCATAAGGAGGACTTAGAACCCCTGCCCAGATGTAGCCATAGGCAGCTCAGTCTCCATGTGGATTCCCGGGTAAGGGGAGAAGAGACAGTCTCTGACATGAACTCAGTTGCCTGATTCTTGATCACCTCTCCCTGGTGGGGCAAACTATCCAGCCCACAGAGGGAAAGGAACTAGGCAGTTCTGATGGGACCTGATAGGCTAAGGTCAGACAGTAGAGGAGGAGGATTTCCCCTATTAATCAGTGGGCTAGAGGAGAGGAATAGGGGAGAAAAGGGGAGAGAGGGTGGGACCAGGAGGAGAAGAGGGAGCAAGATACAACTGGGATATAAAATGAATAAATTGTAAATAATAATAATAAGAGAATAAGGCAAAAAGAGGGATACCCACACATAGGAACTTGTTTGTTCTACACACACACAAATGAAAATATAACACTTAGTAGAACTTGCCTAGCATACACAAAGTCCTAGGCTTTATCACTAACACCATATAATCTGGACATGGTGATACATGCCTATAATCTCAGCACTAAGTTTGTGGGCAACCTGAGCTATGTGAGATCATATCAAGGAAAACAAAAATATCAAAATTCAGTAGGAAGCATTATTATGGTCCATACTGTCTACACAGCTATGCAGTATATACAGCCATAGTGAGACCCTGTGTCAGCAGAAACAAACAACATAAAACCCAGAAATTATAGAAGAGGATATTTCACTCACTCGTGTCTCATAACAACCATAACAAAAATTATTACAGAGGACACTGAAACTTTACAAAAATATTTATTCAAGGACATCTGCTGAATAATGTTTGCACTCAGACTGACACCACTCTTGTTTTGTTCACCATCTCCAAGGATAAGTGATTCAAAATAACTTATATAATCCTTCTCATTTTACATTTACAGTGTTTCCCTTGCCTTTACCTTTCTGAATATGCACTTGGTCTACAATGGTATACATTCTGCCATCATGGGGCTATGCATTCTTCATCCTTCTTTATTCTTGTTTGTTGTTCTTGTCTGTTTGCTCTGAGACAGAATCTCATGTATTCCTGGCAGGTCTCCAATTTGCTGAGTAGCCAAAGGGTATAGCTCTTGCTTTTACCTCCTGAGGTCTGGGATGGCAGGCCTGTATCATCACTCTGGACGGAACCCTGAGCTAAATTTATGCATGCGAGGCAAGCACTCTAGCAACTGAGCTAGCCCCAGCCCTGCCTTTGGTTTTTGAGAAAGGATCTTACTATGTAATTCATTTTGTTTTTGAGTCATAGTAATTTTCTTGCCTCAGCCTTCCACATACTAGGAATGCAGTTATGTGTTACCATGCTCAGCCATTTCCTAAATATGAGCATACTTTTCTATATAATTAGAGGACAACCTTCAAGATCAGAAAATTAACATTAGCCCTGAATTACCATGTAATTCTCAAAGCTCTTTCAAAGTTTGAATGACATCTTTTTTTTTTTTTTTTTTTTGTGTGTGTGTGTGTGTGTGTGTGTGTGTGTGTGTGTGTGTTTGTGTTTAGGGCCTGGAATCCTCCCATGAGGGGCTAATGGTCTAGCATAGTGGTAGAGTCCCTCCCTAACATGAGCAAGGAGCTGGGTTTATCCCCAGCACCCAGAAGTGGGAATAGGAGGAGTTACTCAATTATGCCTTATCTTTATGACCTGGATACTTTTCAAAATCACAGGCTAGATATTTTTGTAGAATAGTCCTGCAATTTGAAAACATCTATGTGGGGCTAGAGGGCACTGGTTGCTCCTCTAGATGTTCCAGGTTCAATTCTTAGCAACCACATGGTGGCTCACTATCATCTATAATAGGATCTGATGCCCTCTTCTGGTGTGCAAGTGTACATGCAGATAGAGCACCTGTATCAATATAGATAGATAGATAGATAGATAGATAGATAGATAGATAGATAGATAAATGTAAAAAAGGAGTAGATTCTTCCTCATTATGTTTTTGTGCAGAAAGTACAGAAACAACATTGTGTTCTCAAGATGCATACAGGTGTTGATATTCTCTAATATTCATTATGCTTAGTTAAAATGATGTCTGACTGTTTCTCTAGTGTGAGTTAGTGTGCCATATTGTTAATAAATGCTTTATGGAAAAACATTTTTATTTTTTCCGAGACAGAATTTCTCTGTGTAGCTTTGGCTGTCCTGGGCTTGCTTTGTAGACCAGGCTGGCCTTGAACTCACAGAGATCCACCTGCCTCTGCCTCCCCAAGTGCTGGGATCACAGGCGTGCATCACTATGTTCAGCTCAGGAAAATATTTTGAAATGAATTAAATATTGTTTGTCAACAAATGTTGACAAATGCCAGCAATTTGATATCCATTAATGATTATTGTCTGATTCAGTTATTACTGTTGTTTCTGTGCATGTAGGTCAATAAACCCACTGCCTCAGTGTCCCTGTTTTACAAAAAAAAAAAAGAAAGAAAGAAAGAAAAGAAACAGAAACAGTAGCATAAATTTACTTATAGTTTGGGGCTGAGGATACAGTTTAGTGGGAAGAGTGTTTGCCTAACACCCACAGAGCCCAGGGTTCCACCACACAACAAGGCACGGCGTTCCATGTCTGTAGTCCACCATCACTTGGAAGGTGGAGACAGAAGACTCAGGAGTTCAGAGTCATCCTTGCCTATTGTAATGGAAGTTATGATTTCTTTGTAAACTCAGTTATGTTATGTAAATATGTTTTTGTTTTAATCCCAAGTGTGCGATTTTAGTTGGGCTATAGTTTGTTCACACCTGTTAATTGTTTCGTGCAGGGCATGGCTTTTGCCAGCTGGTAACAGCCTTCCACGTTTGACATGGAGAGGGTGGCGGTCTAGTATTCTGGAGGATATACGTTGAGAGCTGAAACCAAGGTGTGGCATGGAGTGTTGGTGTATGTCATATAGCAGTTTGGAGAGCTCCTAGAGATGGATGGTGTGACAGTTTTGAGAAGGTGGATGGAGAGAAACGCTTTGGGTGCAGCATTTTTTAAGGAGACTACCCGCTGAGCCATCACTTCCTGCCCCACACAGACAAGTTTTTATTCAGTGTTAGAGGAAAAGTATTGTCTTAGAGACTCAATCCCTTTCTTTAAATATTTTATTTATCAGTCATATATGAGTGTGTGTGTGTGTGTGTGTGTGTGTGTGTGTGTGAGAGAGAGAGAGAGAGAGAGAGAGAGGAGAAGGAGAGGAATAATTTTACTCTGTAAGGGGCCTCAACTACCTCCAGTTTTAAAAGTACAAAGAGGCTTTGGGGGGTTGTTTGTTTGTTTGTTTGTGGTGGAATATAAGATCTCCACCCATTTCCATTTCCAGCCTGGTAGAATTCTTTGTCCCTCATAAAGATCCACCTACCTTTGCCACCTGAGTGCTGGGAATAAAGGCATGTGCTGCCATCACCCAATGTCTTTCTCTTTTGAAGGTTAGCTTCAAACTCCGTTATTGGAACTAGGTATAGTAGCTCATACCCTTAATCCCATCACTAGGGAGGCAAAGGCAGAAACAGTCTGATCTTTGTATATTCAAGGCCAGCCTGGTCAGTATAGGGAGTTCCAGGTAAGCTAGGACTACATAGAGAGACTGTGACTCACAAAACAGAAAAAAAGGTGAGGGTGTGAAGATATAGCTCAGCTGGTAGAGTGTTTGCCTAGCATACACCAAGCTATGGGGTCTATCTTTAGCAGTATACAAAAGTGGGCATTATGGTACACACTGGTATTCCTAACATGTGAGAGGTGAATGCAAGAAGATCAAAACCTCAAGGTCATTCCTGGCTACAGAAGAAAGGCCAGCC